AGAACCAGCAAGAAAGGCAACCATCCATCCCCCCTTAATCATTTCCTAAATCACCTTTCTTCACTACATAAAACCGTTAAAGTTCACAGCAAGCAGAATATCACAGAATTACAAACTCAGTTCTTAAGAAACAAAGAATGAAATTACATACCCAGGGAGGCCACAGTTGTGGCATATTGCGACATTAGGGCATTCTCTAGCATAATGACCAGGCCTCTTGCAGTTCTTGCACAAATTGTCTCGGCTGACAAAAAATCAAATTAGCGTTACCAATGTGAGATATGCACGCATACATTCCAAATGTCAAATGGCATGGTGTGTGCCTCTTTGGTATTTATGTAGCTAATAAACCAGAATCACAGGATGTTTGAGCAGCAAACCATACAATTTAAGTTTCAAGCTAATCAAAGCAGCAGGCAGAGTAAGAAGAAACATACCACAAAAACAGTCAATTGTAAATATATGGGCCATGCCTAATGTTTAACAAACGGCAGAATGTAGATTCAAAGCCTCTTCCTTCTTCAGCTTCCCTTACCAGTACATTTAAGTAGGAAAAGAAAACAGCAAATAAATAATTAAAATCCAAAAAACAACCTGAAACCCCGACGTGAATCTCTCCTGTAAGGTGCATCACGATAGGAAAATCGATCGGAGCGGATCTTACGATCCAATGGGCTCCTGCTCCTGCTCCTGCTTCTGCTTCGGCTCCGGCTGTCTGAACTCATTTTCAAATTTCTTCTTTCCTAACCTCTACCACAACTGATCAGCAAAACACCCACCACAACAAACACCACCAGCCGCCGCCTCCTCCTCCCTGTCCACATCACAACCACACATCCAAGATCATCCTTAAGCCAAGCCAAACCCATTACCTCCCCTTCAAAATACAAAAACCGCAAATTCCAACAGCATAGAATATGAAATTCGACAAGCAATCCATCTCACATCAATCAAATATCACTTCACTCAGCACCCAAAAATTTATAACAAGTTCCTGGGCCACATTCTTCATAATATTCACGTATATCTCACAATTAATAATATTCCTATCCTAACATAAGATCAGTACTAGCACTGAAAAACAATGGAAAGGATATCACTCCACCCTTCCAGAAATTAAGCTAACATGGTAGAGTGAATGGATAAACTAAAATATTGATTCACACAGAAATCATCTGGAGAAATAACTTTGAGGAGTACTTTTCTTCCTTTCGAGGGGATTGAGGTAAAATATGGAAAAATGACCGCTGAGAAAGGAATGGAGATACATATGGCAAAAGCAAGCTACGTCGTGCCAGTGAAAATGACGGGTGCTTTTAAAATGCACATATATTCTTGAACAGACTTCTAGCCATAATCAGAGGCTTTTTTCAGCTTTCATAACAATCACAACCTCTGACACTGAAATACTTACATAGCCATTTGCTCTCTTGAACTAACTGAACTTTTATTGTGGTTAATCCTTTTTCTACATCTATTGTACACAGCTGTAATTCTTCTCTTCTTTTATTTTAACCGAAATATATAGCTGTATACTGTATACCTATGTTTTAAGCAAATATAAGGTTAGATGGAAAGAAAATATGAGAGCACAGAATGCAGTAGTATGCTCCCAGACTACCATCGTTCGCACTACCAATACAAATAACAAATTGACCATTACAAAAACTACTGACATAAAAAATAAATAATAATCCTCCATTATTTTATTTTTCGCTCCTTTAAAAAATAATTTCATCTTCATGTTGATTAGATGATATTTTGGACTTGGTTAAACAACCTCATTCAACATTACATCTCAAAATAGTTTGCACTGCTATTAAGGTGAAAGTGCAAAAATCCTTCAATAGATGGTCCAGATTTCATAAGATAGCAACGCAAACACAATTTTGGTGAAACTGTTGGACAAATGAACAGTTTCTATTGCAACTAACAGGGGAGTCTCCAGTTTTGGTCCATGTATTAAACATGAAGTTGAGATGGTAATCGCTTAAGCAGCTATTTAGAAACATTTCGGTTCATATCAATGGATTTATTGTTTTTAACCAGATAATGTGATACCCTTTCGTTGTTAAGAACCAATTCAACCCAAAACCTTAAAGTGTTGGGTGATAGCCTTTTCAATGGTTTATATTATTCTCTAACACACATCCTCACACAAGAGCCCTTTGAGCTTGAAGCGTGGATATTGCATAGGCCAAATTTTTTGGTTTTTACTTTATGCTTATTTAATTCCACTAGAAAGTATAAGGCGGTGAGGATCGAACTCATGACCTTATGGTCACTGAAACTCTAATACCATGTTAAGAACCAATTCAACCCAAAACCTTAAGGTGTTGGGTGATGACTTTTTTAATGGTTTATATTATTCTCTAACATCGTAATGAATTGGAAACCAGATATCCACCAATATTCTGAAACAAGCTGGAAACAAGTTCGAGAATTAGGAAAACTTGATGTTTCATACAAACAGACATCTGATATTGTGAATCTGGATGTGTTTTGATTTTGCAAAATGATTAGGACTGTAAGACCAAAGAATAAAGGGCTCCGTTTTCTCATTAAAAGTCCTCTTTTATATCAAAGGGCAATGCAGAAAATGACTTTGAAATCCCATCAAAAGATTTTTATTTTAAACTAAAGTTTCATCTTCATTTTGCATATCTGGCATTTTTTTATCATGATTCAGGAGATAGTCATGGAGTGAAACACAAAACATATGCAGATAAATCTGAATTAACTAGTTGTCAACAGTCACTACTCACCACACGAGCACTATTCCTTGTTCTTTACTTACTCCAAGCAAACCCAATGCCAGTAAAACAGGATATATCTTAATTAACTGTCCTTGGGTTCGATTCCGCAATAAACGTTCTATTCCCAACTTCTCCATTTGCTTCATAAGTTAAATAGCTCCCTGAAATTTTACTTCCTTAACTCCCCCAATCCACCACAGCTAAGATTGATATTTTCACAGAATAGTAAACGAAAGTATTAATATAAAAATTTAACTAAATTCCTATTTTCAAGATATCATAAAGCAACGCACGAAAATTAAGATGCTTTACTTTTTGTACATATGAAATCACGCAATTGGCAGACCAGCTAACAGTTCTCTCGGTGTAATAAGCACAACATCATTTTTAGGATACAACAAAAATACTTCAATCTTACAGGTAGATCATTAACCACTACCAAGGAAACACGCATCAAACGTACATAAATTCGTCACGCCCCGTATACTGATCATTATAGCCGGGCGATGAATCTGAACCTAACCCTAACCCTAACCCTAACAGAGTCGCATCGGAATGAAACAAAGAATATTAAAGCTGAAGAAGAGTGAGATAAAGAAAGAACCTGAGCTTTAAAGTATTGCTACGGCCAGAAACGGAGGTATTGGGATGCTTAGTGGATTCCACAGTTATGAATGAACGACGTGCAAATGAATAGCTAGATAGATGTAATGTAAAAACCCTAAACAAAGCGCGCAGTCGAGCAGATATAATATGCGATTTACACACCGACACTTCGTGTACGATATTTTTCGATACTTACGTACACTTAGACATTTTTTGACACTTCAACACTCGTTGTAAAGACTTAAAAAAAGGTTCAAAAATTATATTGCGTTGCATTTTAAATTTTAACTATTAGATTCGTTAGATTACAATTACGATTTTATTGAGTTTAATATAAAAATTTGGAATATATTATGTTTTTTTGCAAAATTAATAAGTATTATAAGTGTAGCTTTATTTTTTTGTTAAATTATTGAATACTAAATATAATATACATTACATAAATTTTCTAATTTATATAAAATCAAAACGTGTCAGAATTTAACAATTTTTAGAATTAACGTGTCAGAGTGTCGTGTCATATCGCGTGTCCCGTGTCAGTGCAACATAGATTTGGACAACACTGCCAAAGATTTTCTTTCTTTCTTTTATTTTTAAGTTTTTAAGCTAAAAGTTGTGTCATTTTAAATCAAACGTCCTTTTTTTTTTTGGATAAAGAATCAAATGTCCTTTCACTCCTAACATATAGTCCATTAAAATGACATAAAGTCCATTAAAATGATACACCTTTTTTAATGTTGGAGTTGTCACAAGTTTTAGTTGTGTTTAAGGGCATGTTCGGTACATAATATAGAATAAAGCTACTATAAAATATGATTGTATAAGATCTGATTAAATTTTAATACTATCCAGCGTTTTACATGATATTGTATAAGATAATATATTGTACGAGATTTGACAAAGTTACTGAAAATCTTAATACATTTGACAAAATAAAATATTTTATATATGAGTTTGTTTTTTCTAAAGTTATTTTAGATAGCTTTATCTGATGTTAATTAAAACGACGTCATTTTGAGGCAGAAATCATGACTTTTTTTAATTTTAATTTATTTCAGGGTTATAATAATTTTTATCATTCTAATTTTTTTATTTTTCAACATGAGAATGACGACGTTTCAATGAACATTAGACAAAATTATTTAAAGTAACATTAGATACTTTTTTTCCTTTATATATATAGAAAAAATATTTGTTCTTTTAAATATATAAATTTGTGTTATTTTAAATCCGAACCGTTGATTTTTATTAATTCACGGTTATGATTTATTAGGTTAAATTTATTAATTAATTAGTAATTAGAAAGAAAAAAATCCACGGTATATTATTATAGGAAAAAAAGTTTCTGATGTTACTTTAGATAACTTTGTCTAATGTTCATGGTAACGACGTCGTTTTGGGGTTGAAAAATTAAAAAATTAGAATTATAAAGACTATTATAACCCTGAAAAAAATTAAAATTACAAAAACACCATGATTTCCGTCCCAAAACGACGTCGTTTCGATGAACATTAGATAAAGTTATATAAAGTAACTTTAGAAAAAACAAATCGATTGTTATATTTTATTATTATAAATCGCCGGCGTTCAGGGCAATCGGACCATATAACTGGCATTCGCTCTCCCTCTGTCATTTGGTCTCCTTCACCAATTCTCCCTTTCCGAATTTTCCCGCTTTTGCTGTTTATATTTCTACACTAGGGTAACAGGGTTGGATGGCGTTGTGTAAACGCGCTTTTCATTTTGGTTCCAATTATCGCCTCTGCTTCGCCAAGTGCCGCGACGTCGCTTCTTTATTTCCTTCTACCACGACGCATACTAGTAGGCGTGTTTCGCAGGCCTTGAGTTCCAACGGAAAGCCCGCTTTTCTCGTCGATACACTTGCACTGGTAAATTATTATTATTTACTATTTATTTAATTTTTTTCTGATTGCTTTACAAAAAAAAAAAATTGAAAAATTCCTTGTTTGGATGATGGTATAATTTAATTGCCCTAGGTAAGGGGTTTAGAGGCAAATGGATACCCATACAAACAGGCTGAGGCGATAACTTCTGCGATCACTGAAGTTCTTAATGATAGCTTGGAAAATGTAGCTTCTTCTTTTGTTTCAAAATCAGAATTGCAAAAGGTGAGTTTTGAATTAAGGTTTATGAATTTTAAAGTAATAATTGATTTACTTATGTCTTCCTTTGGAGTCTTGCAGTCAGAACTGCTCCAAGAATCAAATCCGTCCAATTTCAAATCTGAAGTGCAAAGTTCTCAGGTATATTATTATATTTTATTTTTTTCTGAAGCAGATTTCACTTTCCTTCAGCATGAAAAGTCATGGTCTTTGATTAGCTATAGCAGTTATGGAATTCATATAATTAATAAAGTGATCGGTTTTCCCATGGAAAAGCTTGACAATATGAATAACTTAATAGATGTCACTATGTCAGCATCATATAATGAATACACAGGGATCTCTAGAGATTGGAGGAATTTACGTTGCATATGTTTTTTTGTGTTGCTCTTGGAATTCCTGGAAGTTGGAACCATTAAAACTTGAAATATCAAGTTTACTTTTTTTCAAACATGTGATATTGTTTGAGTTTGGGATAGGGTCTGCAATAGCTAAAATGCCTAAAACACACTGAAAAGTGACTTGCTTTATATACTTAGTTTGTAAATATATTTTTTTTAGGTGGATCACATACATTCTGGTCTTTGTGAAAGACAAATAAGGTGGCCCCTGTCAAGAGACCGATAAATTTCAATTAACATTTCCTAAACATGCAACAGATTTTGTAATAGGATTATGGGAGTGATGGTATATTGTGGGAGTTTCTTTTTTGTTGTATCCATCAAGGAGAAGATTTAGAATATAGGATGGAACACTGAGTTTGACATATTGTGCAGACGATTAAAATTCTCAAAAGTGTGGGAGGATTATTCAAGCAACCTTGCACATGAGGTTATTTATACTGTCGGTTTATAGGACCTTGAAAAGGAAATGCCCAGGCCATGAGGCATATCTCAATACTGGAAAGCACTTTGAAAATTGTTGCGATCCAGTTGTAAGGTACGAGACTTGGAGTCCCACATCGAAAACATAAGGTTCTGGTGTGGGGTTTATATGGACTTTGGGCTCTCTCAAAGTTCGTATCAATTGGTATCGGAGCCTTCCACTATCCCAATTGCAATCGAGCGGCGTGACTGGTAACACTGACATTGTAGTGCTTACCCAGGGCTAGTAAAAACTAGCGCAAAGCCAGCCCGCGTGGACGTCAGGGCTAAGGAGTTTGGTGGAATGTTATGATCTAGTTGCAAGTTATGGGACTTGGAGTCTCACATTGGAAACATAAGGTTTTGGTATGGGATTTATATGGACTTTGGACTCTTCTACCCTACGAGCCAACTTTTGGGGCGAGACTCTCCCAAGGTTTGTATCAAAACCCCCCAAGGCTAACACCATTTGCTGCATTATGTTTGCATGAACCTCTCTTTTATTTTTTCTTTTGTTAAATGTGTTAACTAAATAAACTATGTAGTAATGGACCCTTGCAAGTTGTAACACATTTTTCATTGCTATATAAAGTATGTTCTAATAGGGCGCATAATATTTGTTCCCTTTGTTTAGCTTAGTCTAGTCTTCATTTTCCTTCCTTTTGAGATCTCTTCCGAAGTTCTACGTATAAGTTGTTTTAATAATGCCCTAAAACCCAATAATTGCATGTTTAAGATCTGAAAGATAAACTCCTTTCAGCTTAGTTTTAATATAATCCTGTAGTCTGAGTTTGCAATCAAATCACTTCCATCCTAATTGTTATAGATTTGTGTCAACAAAAGGTGGCTATCATTTACATAAAGGACAACTTTTCTTGTTCTCTAATTTGTCTTTTCTTTGAACTCATGTAGTTTTACTATCTTCAACTGTACCCACTGAATAATGAAAGATAATATTGAAAATTGATCACAGACAGTGTAAATATGCTCTGTTCTGCTTTTGGTATTTATAAAATTATCACCATCATGAATACCAACCAAATTGTGGTTTAAACTTTAGACTGTGTAATATCTTGTTGATACGAGACTTCTCTTCTATTTTGTTCTTTGCACGGGGCAGGAGGGGTATATGCATCCAATTGTACAGGTAGGCAACGAGAGTCAATCAATATCACTCTAGCTAGCTGAGATCATTATATGGATCCTACGTAGTAGGGGAAAGCCTAGATTTTAGTATTGAGATGGCACATCTCATTGTTACTTTCTTCCTAAACAAGGTGTTAAATGCAGACACATTTTAGAAAGGGAGGAAAAACTTGGATGTAGTAGGAAATTGGAGGAATTGGGTTGGTGTTAGCCTGAGGTTAACAGTTGAATGAAAAGATACTGAATAATATTTCTTAATAATTCTGTACATGGCTTCATTCTAATATATTGACCTAGGTAAATAATTTCTTTCCAAATATATTGACTAAACTCTGGTAACAAAATGTTTTACAATAATTACAATGATTTATAGAAAACATTATGTAGTGAAGTTTGTGGGATAGATGTGGGAGTGGGACAATTACAATATTTCCCCCTCAAGTTGGTGAATGGATATCTATCATTTTCAGCTTGCCAATAAGATTCTAAAACCTCTCTGGAGAAAGTCTTTTTAGTTAATACATCGGCTAGCTGGACCTCTCAAGAAACATGGGCTGTGTTGATTAGTATATTATGCTATATCTAGTTTCTCCTTTATGAAATGTTGGTATATCTAAATATGTTTATTTTTGTCATGCTGAACTAGATTATGGACAATGCTGATGGCTGATGTTTTGTCACAGAATAACTTCATAGAGTTTCATGATGTATTCTCAGATTATCTAGTATAATTTTCATCCATAGGGACTCACCAATTTTTTTGGGCCATATTATTTCATATTATAGAAAATTTTCTCAATAACTTCACTTATTTTTCTCCTTCTTGTGAAGATGGTACTTTGTAATTGTTAAAAGTCGTTGCTGCACCAGTTCATTCAAGTTGTCCCTTTTTATGATTGGTGATGCAGGAGCATCATTTTTCTTTGTTACAACGTGAGACTGCAAAACTTCGTAGTGACATAGAGAAGATGAGAAGTGAATTAAGGTCTGCATCTTGTTATACCCAAATATTCTTTTACCTGAAACGAATTTGATTTCCACTCCCTAAGATTGTACTATAATGTCATTATTGATTGTCTGTAACAGATATGAGATTGACAAAGTCACTGCTGGGCAACGTTTGGACTTGAATCTTGAAAGAGGGTAAGTGAAAATGAAGTCCAATTTTTGTGGCGCTGTTGATGTAGTAAACGTTAGTTGGTTTAACCTAATGTTGTTGTCTCATTTGTTTATTATATCAAATCTAAGTACAGACGCATACGAGATGAGCTTGCTATTCAAAATGCTGAAACCACCAATTTGACAAACAAACTTGATCGGGTGAGTTTATGATTTTGCTTTTTTGAGTTGTTATTGGAGAACGTTCAGTTTGGATTGAAATCTTGCTCTGGGATATTGCTTTCAGGAAATACATGCATTAAGAGGTCAGTTAGTAGGTGCAAAGAAAGATGTGATGAAATCCTGTCTAGGTACCGTTGTCTTGATATCTGCATTGGGTCTCGCCGTCGCCTCTTCTTTCCATAAATCGAATTAAAGGTGCTTTATATTTAACTATTGAGGTATCGGTTTGCTTTTTTCATGGCAATTCCGTTATGGTGGGGGAGCACCATTGTTTTTCATTGCTACAAGACCTGAAGTTCCGATTGTAATATTTTTTTGTGTAAATTTCAAAGAATCACCCTCAACTTCACTTCTTATGTAATATATCCCCTTCATAATATTAAAATTGATTGAATTCGAGCGCTGGGATTGAGTTGCATAAATCAGAAACTAAATGGTGTTATTATACGTTAATCAGAAGATTAATGGAAGAAATTGAAGCATCATTGTGATGAATGGAATGTTAGCGGATAATTACTCTGAAGTCTTAATGTTGAAAGGAATTTTTTTAGAATTGTCATTTTTGTATGCTGTGGAAAAAAACAGTGATTCATCTATATAACAGAGAGATCCAGTGGGTTGATTTTTGGAGCCACGTTTGGGTCGAACGGTGTTAAAGGCCACTCTATTATCACCTCTCAACCCAATATTCTGCACTATAATACTTCTGGGCAGTAGTTTAAAACTCGAATAGGTCATTGGCTTGATCTGTTCAATCGGATATATTATTCACATATTAAAAAAAATATAAATATTTAGAAACTACCTTCCAAAGAAAAAATAAAAAATGTTTTCAATGTATCCTAAAAAGGAGGGATATTTTCACTACTAAAATTTTTCACTATTAACTTACTATTTATTTAATCACCATTAGATTGACATCTTCTTTCTCTTCAAAAACTTTTTAACATTTTCTTTCGTTAATCCAATGGTGATGTGATGAGTAGTAAATTAGTAGTAAAAATTTTTGGTAGTTAGAATATCCTCACTCGTGTCCTAATAGGCATGTGCCCATAGATCTTTGGGGCCATCCTTTCTTAAATATTTGGATACGGGCTTAGGGGCTCCAAAATCAAATCCGAGTAACGTTGGGTTCTAAAAATCAATTCATAAGCCTCAATGCCCCACACTCACTCGTCTTTTTCACTTTCAACGAGTAACTGGTGTGGTTTCACAAGCCATTTTGTTTTTCGAGTTAACATCGATTCCACAATGCATTTTCCTCCATTTTCTTAGCAACCAAACAACCACACCAGATATCCAGTCAATCTGAAGAACTCTTCTTTGTCATGAACCGCATGTCGCCATTGTCATTGTACACAGCTGCTATAATCGGAAGGACCTCTTGATTCGTCACGAACTGCTCTCTGCGATGACAGCGGATGAGCAACCACGGCAGCATACACAGTGGTTGAGAGCACAACGAACGGGTCTAGGGCACAATGAAAGTGATATAGGATTTTAGGGTTTGTATTTTGACACACACAACGTCGTTTTCATTTGTGTAAAATTTTCTTTAATAAAAGAGATTGACTCGTCGGTTTGGTTTAATCTACAGAGTCACCAAGTCTCCGTTGGGTCAACCGATCTAAACCAGATCAAGAGCATGGCCGATTCAAATAACCGCTCGAACCAGTGCCCTCACTAGGTCACCGAAATCCAGGTTGATCCGAGTTTTAAAAATTCCGGGAATTCTCTTGCTATTGCTAGTCGTAGACCTGGTCGCTTCCTCCCCCAATAACAAAGGAGAACATATCTACCGTAAGAAGTTGACATGCAAGGAGAGTTGGATCAGCAGCAGGCCCAAGAAGAGGAAGAGGACATTCAGAAACAAGTGGAGCAGCTAGTTGGGTTACACACCAGCCCAAAGACAAGATTATCAAAAAAGGAGTACAGGGACGGTGACCAAAATGTCAAGCTTGGACAAAAAATTAATAGACACGTCAACGGTAAATTTTGCTAAAATGTCACGCGGCATAATTCGCTACACTGCATGCAAGTAATTCGCTACACTGTGCTACACTGTGTAGCGAATTACTTGATGCATAATTTGCTACACTGTGTAGCGAATTATGCCGCGTGGTATTTTGACAAAATTTACTATTGGCGTGGTGGCAGTCTAGTAATTTTTTTGTCCAAAAGTGACAAATGGTCACTGTTCCAAGGCCTAATGGAGATTATTTGTTAACATAAAACCAATACAAAATAACAGTTAGTGGAGCGCGCAGTGGTTGTTAGGAAATGGATGTATGGCGTGAATGGTTAAGCTATTTTTGGCTTTTACGTTTTTTTATTTTTTACGTTTTTTCCTTTGGCATTCTGTTAGGTGGGAGTGTTGCTTGTATAAAGGACCATCTCTGAAATTTGAGAAATATACTGAAAATTTTATGAGAGCCCTTATGGTATAAGAGGAACCTTCCAAAGAGAGGCCATTTTTTCTCTGTTTCTTTACACCCACTGCTAACATAAGACCTAGATCAAAGATATTCTTCTGTCGCAAGCTGAAGCACAGCCATTAGTTAACCAAAGTGACAAAGAACTTTTGCACATAACCCTGTTTTGGTTTTGTTAGCTGGCACTAAGTATATGTATGGTAAAAGCTCTCTCCGAAATATAAATTTTTTTATTTTAAAAATAAACTAATACAAATACGCACTTAAGTTTTTCCATTGCTAATTAAATTAGCGTGTATATGTCGCAGCCCGTACCTTTTTTCTTCCCATTTTTCTTTGTTTTGCGAGTTTTAGTCGTGTTCCTAAGCAAAAATGAAAGGTAATTTTTATAATGATTTTTATTAAATTAATGTTAATTATCTGTATTAAGTCTTGTTACCTATGTTATGCCAAGGTGGTATTTTAAGCTAGAATTCTAATTATTATTTTTAACCTTTAATTGCTTAATTGAAATATGTAATAATTACTTAGTTATTTTCCTTACTCCTTACCTTAGTACAATAAATACAATCAAACCAGTGTGAGCTCATCGCAGCGGATTTTAACTGCAATAAAAGCGTAAAAGGATGTGAAGTCATGTAGTGTGTCTTTACCAAAACAAATAATATTATAGTAAACATAGGATAAATTATTCTAGCTATCATTTTTTTTTATCTTTGTTTACTATTTTTCAATATCGTTACATTAGAATCTCAAGGGCTTGTTTGTATTGCCTTTTCAAGAAAGTTCTTTTTATCACTTCCTTATTTTAAAAGTACTTTCTATAAAAGTTACAGCTATTTAAATTTTTTAAAAAATATTTGATTTTTGAAAAAAATATTTGACTTTTGACTTCTGTTTTTTTTAAAAGCTAAAATTTTTAGCGTTCGAAAAAAGTAAGTTTTTGGCTTTTTTTACGACTTATGTTTTTTTTTAAAAGCAGACATCCAAACAGACTTTTTTCGAGGAATGCTTTTTTTTCTTAAAAAAACAGCTTTTGAAGAAAAAAAAATCATTCAAATGAGTTCTAATTAACATGTATCTTCCTCTCTCCTTTTTAGATTCTAATCTAACAGTATTAAAAATTAGTAAACAAAAATAAATAAATAAAATAATAGGTAAAGTAATCTATGTCATTGACTATACACTTACCTAGGCATCTTTCATTCTTACTTTCTAGATTCTTATTCTGCTTTGGTCAAAACAATTTGTATAATCGAAAGAGATGCTAGACCATAGCCTCCTTTGAAAAATCCTCCATTAAATATAGCCTCATAAGCTGATTTACAGAAAACGATAGGCTGGTAGAAGTGCCAGAAACTGGACTCGAAATTTGACAAAGTCAGATCTTTTTTTCTATTGAAGGGCCAAAATAAACTGAAAGGACTTTTTTGCAAGTGCCAAGTGGTTCCCACGGAAAAGACCTTGTTCTCCTCTCGAAGAAAAGATTTAATTGAGTGGCCTCTTTCTGCTGCTTTAAATGTTTTGTCTTGGCAAAATCTAAAAGAAGAATAAATTTTGGTACTAGTGTTGTATTAAAAATTTCTGTCAAATTTTTCTCTCTCTCCTCTGATATGTAATGCTCTCATTGATATGATGCACTGAATTTAGGTATAACACTAGTATCAAAAATTTATTCCTAAAAGAATGACCCCCTTTTTTTTTTTCAAGGAAAAGAGGTGGCTTCTTTCCCCTTCTTTAAATATTTGTCTTCTTCCCGTTCATTTTCTTCCTTTTGTTTCGGCATGTGTTTTCTTTTTCTTCTTTTATTTTAGTCTCCTTTCTCATAATTTCTAAGTGCAAGCTTCTTTCATGTGCCTCTGTTAATGTTTCTGCATGTGAGAGAAACTTTGGTGTCACCGCTGCACTATACAGCGGTCCAAAAAAAGAAAAAAAATTAGGATTTAGATAAAAATAAAGATAAAAGTGAGGGTTTAAATGAAAAAAAACTTTGCCTTTTTGAAAAGAAAAAAAAAATGTACTCATTTGCGAATATCAGATGTACTGAAAACCTCATGGACGGTATTCACTGAAAATTTTAGCTTTTTGAAACAGCCAGAATTGCAGTTTGCTCGCAAGAAGCAAACTAAATAATGAGTTCTGTGCCAGTAGTAATCGACCAACTTGAGTTGGAACTACTTTTTTAATTAGTTTAATTAATAAGGTGGTGAATGGTGATCACATTTCAATATCATAAATGTAGAATTTCATCTCTCGAACATCTTTTCCATTCTGAGCAAGTGGATTTATTCTAACTAGCACAAAGAAAATGAAAAATAATCGTGGGATTTTTCTGCCTATTGGTCTTTGGAAGAAAAATACAAGGGAATTATTTTTCTTATGTTACTTAAAAAAAAATTTATCTACTACACTCACATTTTTCAAATGGATTTCACAAGATTTTTTTCTCTCACTTTCACCTTTTTTCTCTCTCCTATTTATTGTTTGAGCATGAGATAATACTTTTCTTATACAAGAGAAGTATTACCCAAAATATAAACATCGGATAGAATAGGAAACAATATAATAGTAGTATATATAGTACAATAGGGTAGGTAGTGGAATTGCCATGGCGTATACGCTAAGTAAAAAATCAAAATAGTTGAAGCCCAAGTCTGTTCTAACTCCCAAGTCTTGTTGAATCTATTGTAAGCAAGCGTAGAATCGCTCCAAGGGGCACTCTGGAGACCAAAATATTGAGTGTTTCAATTTCAAAGTCTCGAATTGTCCAAAAGAAAAATTAATTTTTTTTTATTGTGTTCTGATTTATTTGTTCTTAAATTTATCTAATGAAATAAGTATTTTTTATATTTTGAAAGTTTAAAGTCAAAAACAAAACAAAATTAATTCGGATATATTCTCTAAATTTGATTTTAAAAACAATAAAATAATTACAACTTTTAAACAAAAAATTATAAAACAAATCTTATTAAACAGATTTTTTTATGAAAATCAAAAAATTATTTTTCAAAGCAGATTTCAAATATTCCCTAAATAAAATGACATGACTCATGAGATATTTAGAAGTAGGTTTTGTTATTCCTTTTTACCCAAAAAAATATAATAAAAAAGTTTCCTTATTTCTGTGATTGGAATTAATTAGTCAGACTCCAATCCTTAATTTGCTAATCTTTGAAGGGCTTGAGCTTAAAATTCCAACAAAATTTTATGTCAAAGTAAATATGTGTCAAGGATACACACGTTACGAACCATTTCAACCACATTATTTATTAATAAGGCTTTATCTATGAGCCAAAATAGGGTATAAATAGATTAGACGGCTAAACAGACTAACAAACTTAGGTCAATATTTTATTTTTTAAATATAAATCAGGTTACACTTATAATTTGGGGTTAGACAAAACTAACAAATCAGGTGAGACCTAAAGTATTTTATACACATGGCCTATTTAAATCAAAGTTACCCCAAATCATTTACACCTTTAACAAAATATACACGCTACAGAACCATTTCAGCCAAACCATTTATTGTTTAGGCTTCCTCTTGTAAGTTATGCTCAAAGCTCAATTTTGACGCTGTAATGTTTTCGGATAATGGGGGTAATGGTGGTATGAAATAAACATATATAAAAACAAGAGTTTTATAAGAGTTATGTTTTAGGAAAAGTGAAGTGGTCATGTCATAGAGATTCGTTTTCTGTGTCTTAGGTTTTTTTTTTTTTGCTTCATAAATTGTGACGTCCATAAAATGTTGTGTGTATAGAAAATTCTGTCTTTTTTCTTTTACATCATGGATGCAAACCCCTACAAACAATAAAGGTAATGCTTTGTTAGTAGACTGCCCGCACTCCTTAAAAAAGTGATCGGTCATGTTAAAAAAAAAAAAAAATGATCGATCGTATCTTAAATTGAAGACTTGTTTTGTTAGTTAATAAGGTCTCACCTTACTTGAATTGGTAAATATTTATTTATTATGAATTTCACAACAATTATTTATAAATAGGTATCAAAGTATTTTCCTTTCATTTATTTGAAATTTTCTTAAACTTCACACTCTTGTTAATTGGCGTTCTGAATGATACTTTGATAATATATATTGTCTAACCACCCTTTTATTATCTATCTTTTTTCGGTGCTTCTTTTACTTTCATATCTTTTTCCATCTTGGTATCTAAAGATTGATATAACCCTACAAAAGCTTTAGATTTGGCCTCTCTCTCACCATCCTCTTTGATCTTGGCTAACTCATTTTTCCTAAGCGTTAAAGCATTATAATATGGAATAATCCGCAAAGTGGTGTGCAAGTCATGTGAAAAATAAAATGGTCCTTGTGCTCTTTTTTCATTTGGATGGTTACAGCTTTTCAAAGTCCAAAGTTTCAATAATACTACTAGTCTTCCGTTGTCATCCATCCAATGCACGTTGTTCATTGAATGGTTGCGGCTACCATCGTCACTATAGATTATCTTATCCTACAAATAATTTCTTGCCCCACCACCACCAACTACTTTACACACATGCAGGCACGTTAGATTGCAATAACCAGACACTCCACATAGCACTTAAAAACACTTGCATGCTGCACTAGCAATATAATGTACAAGAAGGATCCATGAGGGGAACCCTTAATGACCCACTTACTTATCAAAGCCTCAGAACAAGTTTATGGGTCACTTAAACACCAACACAATGTTAAAGATCAATCAATTCACCTCCACCCCACCCACTTGACTACTCCATTTGGCACTAGCACGGTTTTGGTGGTCTCAAATGAGTGCAACTAAACTTTATTGCTTCAATCACACTCCAAGTCTCTGCCTATGGCCCACCTCTCCCGCTCTCTCACGAAATCTAAAACACACAGCTGAACTAATTTGAATGATTCAATCCAAAGTTGAATTATTCAATCCAATGCTATATAAAGTTTGACAGAGAGACAAGTAAAATAACAAACCCAGCCAACTAGAATAAGAAGGGCAAAATAGCTTAATAATTAAATGGGAGATAATTTTTTTATGATGTAGAAAAATAATTATCTTGTGTTATAGAAACAAGATCAATTGGAACCCATAGGTAAGAAATGTGACTCATCCATCTTCTCTGTGTGTAGAAAATTTAATTATCTCATGCAAAATGATATAAATATAACCCTAATTAAATTGAACTTCCTTCCTCCAATTAACTTAAACTGTATCAGATTAAATAAATCAACAACGCTAAGGAAACGGGATACAAACAATCAATGCCTTCCTAATAAGAATATTCTTTACCTGCCTAGCTGACTAGCACTAAAATCACTAAATATTATACAAAAAAAAACGAACCGGTTCAAACCGGTTGGTGGGATGTATACCTATTCTGCCTATTCTGCCATTTCCTAAACTAAAAACTCAGTAAGTCGAAACCAATTGAGTCTGAGCCAAACCGGCCTCCGGTCCAACCGGTCCAGACATATCCTTCTTCCTCCTTATCTCCAACACTTTGCGGTGGCTGTTGGAATGAATATCGCTGCAGAAGGTGGGGCTGCAAGCCGGTCTATACTCTGAAAAAAGCCGACCGGACTTGTAGCGAACCCCGCACGCGTTGCAAAGGGTTTTGGCGCCTAGTGGACCGGTCCTCCACTGCGGCGTCTTCTGCACATGGCAATGACTGCACCGTCTCTGTAACTGGGCCCCAACGACTTGGACCACTTGGGCCTCGACCTTTTTCTTCTGTTTCTTCGCCGGCGGCTCGCGGAAAACGACAGGCGGCGCGGTCGACGAAAAAACCGAAGAACATGACGACGGCGAAGAAGGACGCGAGAGCAAGGGGCTAAGTGACCACAGGCGAGCGTTGGATTTTCTCTTGCGTGTGGTTCTGGCCTTGGTGGTGATTTTCATTTCAGAGGGAAAACAAGTAGTTGTTGATTTCTTCACTTTATGTTCCGGTTCAGCCCGCGTGTTCGCTTGCTCCGAACGAACCGGGTACAGAAGAGACAGCTCCGGTATAGAATCATCAACGAAGTGAGAAACCCACTCTAGGTCTTCCAAATCACCGGCCTGTAGAAGAAAAACCAATTTCAATTTGAAAACCAAAACAGAATTTGGGGGAAAACGATAACGGAACGGACAGAGACTCACCGGAACAACTAATTCGGTGGAGAAAATGGAATCATAGGAAACACCGCTGGAATAGGAGTTGCTGTCGTCATGTGACAGCGAGGAAACAGATAAGCTGTGTTTTTCTTTGTCGTATTCTTGTTCTTGTTCAGAGTGATGTTGGAACTCGCCGTTAGAGAAGTCAAGGAGATCATCCACTGAGAAATCTTCACCACCAACCACGGTGTTCCCGTTCAAGTACAAAATCTCCTCGCGAAGCGCTTGCTGAAAAATAAACTCTCTCCTTAAACTCGGTTTCAGAGCATCCACCATCGCAGCTTCCATTTCTATGAATAAATTCAACCATTATTTTCAAAAACAGTCGCAAAATTCAGTTCTCCTGTTAAAAGGTTAAATAAACATGAAAGCTTCCTGGTTTTTTTAATTTTTTTTATTACCTGCGAAGAAGAACAGAGAGGGGAAACCGCACACGAGTTTTGTTAGGTTTGAACTTTGAAGCAACGAAAAATGAAGGCCGAAATTGGTGCTTGTGTGTCTGTGGTATTTATTTATCTTTATCTTCCTTTTCGCTTCCTTCTCTCTTATCAGTATCTCTGTTCTGTGCCTTTATTCAATTTAAATAAATACATAACAGTACCAAATCTTATTTCTTATTTAAAGAGGATGATGTAGCAAGCGTGTTACATTTGGTCACGTGGCGGGGCTTGACTATTATTGGTCTATTTTTATCGAATGGATCCTTGATGGCTCCGTAAATTCAAAAGTTCTGCCATCGATGATTCTTATTTTTTGACCAAACGAAAAAAAAAAAAAAAACTGGCCCGGTCTAATGCGACTATGTATGCGACCAGCTTAAAAACAAAAACGTTAAAATCACACGCCGGTTTTGACTGTTACAATCGCAGGCCACAGCCACTGTGATTGGGTTTTCCATTGAAGGGATGATGAACGGCTCGGATTGAGTTTGTGTTACTAAAGCGCAATTTGGCGCTAACAGTTTTCAAAAATCAGACACCACAAGGAACGATGAAACCGCCGAGAAAAAGAATGGGTTCGACTTGTCCAACTTTAGAAAAATTTGGCTCGACTGTCTTGGCTTTTTTCCTCTTTTTTGGTAACAAGCTTTTTGGATTTTGAGAGAAATAAATATCGAAAAATATATTTTTTATTTTAAATTATATAAAATTATATTATTTTGGTCTATTATTACATTATTTCCTCTCTACTTTTTTTCTTCTTTTTAATTCTGTAAAAAAAATAACAAAATAATATAATTTTATTAAAAAAAAACATAACTTTATATCATTTAAATTAACAAATATTTTTCCCATAAATCTTTAGTATTATCATCCTATATATATTGGACTAGTAGAGAGTGTGACACATTAGTCAACAAATTTCTGGAAAAATAAATAAATTTAATATTATAATTATATCCTTCTCAAATTACATAATTATAATATTATTATTACATTCCATCATCACACTCAAAATATGAATAAATTTTTGATATTACTGTTGTACCTAGATTCAGTACATTTTTTCAATGAAAGCATTACACATCAGAGAAGAGAAAAAAAAAATTGACAGGAAAAAAAGAATTTTAGCTAACATATAATATTTTCACTGGTGAGATGCACTGAATTTTTGATACAACAGTAGTACTAAAGATTTATTCTCAAAATATCCGTACACGATAATAATGAGGATTTATTCCTCTACGAGAATGGTAAGGATTGCTTAGCCGCGTTGCGTTGATCTCGCCTCGTGACGTGGTTAATTTTTGGATAACCTTTCTTCGTTCACATCCCACTATTAATTTATTTTTATTTATTTTTTCTGTTTATGACTTTATGTAATTGTGAACTGAAGACATAGATGATCACGCACGTCAGATATTCTGGACTGTTTGGCGCGTGAACCTTCCGATGGTTTTTGACTTTTAAAAATATGAAGCGCTTAGATTCGTGGTCTCAACTTTCATGTTTGGAGCCATTACTTCCTGTCTTCAATCATCCATCCCTGGCGCGTTCTTTTTATGCTTAATGGACTCTTAGCTGTCATCCTAAAAGAAAAAAAATGATTTCTTTCATATTATTTAGTGTTAACATTGATACGATATCTTGTTTTAAATATTATTAATTTGCATATACATATCTAAAAAACTTGGATAACTTTGCGTGCTTTACTATATAGTTTTCTTTTAGATTTTTTGTTGTTGTTGTTCCGTTTTCTTAAATTTTCAAATGATTCCTCTTGTACATACTACCGGACTGAAAGACACTTCAATCTGCCTTTTTTTACTTTTATTTATGCAATCATATTGTGATTTAATATTTATAATCATATACTATATAACATATATTATTTTTAATATTTAGAAATGATTTTCTATAAAAATATTACTTTTTTATATTTGATTATATTTTTATTCAAATATTGGTATTATATTTTATTTTCAATTTCATTGTTGCATATTAATAGTTAAAAATGGGCAATATTACACGTTTTTTTTCTAAATTTTCTAATTTCTTCAAATGATTTATGTTACTCATATACTTTATATAAGATGTGTAACTTTTTTTTCCCTTGTATCATTTGCTATACCTATTTTGTTTTAAAATTTGATACACACCAAAAAAGAACAAAAAAAGAAAGAAAGAAAAAACTTCCTATAACATTGTATGTTACGTATGAAATCAGGAATCACTTAATTACCAAAAATAAAATAAAATAAATTATGAATCACTTTTGTTTCTGACAGGATTAAAGGAACGATGGTTAAAGGAACTTCAGCACGTTAAAAGTTAATATATCTAACTTTATAAATCAGAAAAAATCTAACTAATAATGTAATAACTCATATAGAAAGTTCCATATTTAAGTAGTAGCACTTATTTTCAGATTTATTTTTGGATGACAATTATTAACAACAATGACAGAACTAAAGTATATTTTTGATTATTTTATTTAGAAAAAACATATTTCATTATCTTGAAAATTTGTAATCATGTTTTGAACTAACGAAATACAAACAAACGAGTAACTAGTCATTTCAATATGAAAAGAGATTGTTTTTATCTTTAAATTAATTGGAAGTTTTAATATGATAATATTATTTATTAATATTAGATTAAATATTGTGTATGTCTTAAAAATTATAAGTGTCATTAATTAGTTTGATGCTTTAATAACAAATACATCAATATGATCCTTCAATGTCGTTTTTTGAAATTAATGATGTGTTTCATCTTTCTTGAGTATTTTTTTTCAAAATATCTTTTCATAAATTTTTTTCTTGATTAATAAATAGAAAAAAAAGGTTGTTATATGAATTTGTATACACTGTAACAACTTATTTTCAATAAGTTCAATTTTGAGCATTTTAATTTTTGCTAAGATTGATTATTTTATATTTTTTAGATTTTTTTTGGATTTTATAGTCTCAATTAAATGAATTTATTTAATATTTTATTTTATAAAGAAAAATGTACAAACACTTTTTTTTAGCAGTTGCTAAAACCAGAAAAATTATACAAATACTTGCAACACAAAAACTTTAACATTACAATAAATCCAAGTCTATTGTGTTTTTAGTTTTTCAACCCCAAATCATAATTTAGGTAAAAACAATTCCTTGTAACTTTATTTAAATTATGATTTTAGAGTTTTAAGCATAAAATAAACACACTATCTAAACTAAAAGTCCTGACTGAGAAGGTCTGTTAATCACGACAATATTAAAAGAAATTAATCTTGTATCAATAGTTGTAGACAATTGATCATAGATAAAAATAAATGAATTATTTAGGGCTTTATTTTTAAAAATTTTGTTTCACGCATTTAACATAATAATGTTGCTACCATACATGTTAACTGCTTTTATTAATTAATGAATTATAATCTAATGTATGCGATTATTAGGACTTGAAGTTTAAAAGATTAATCATATTAATCATTCAATAACAAGCTTAATAAAAAAAGTATTGGGGAAGGACAACTTTATATTTTCTTTAAAAATAAAGAGATAAAAAAATATGAGCAGCTCTCGCTGCAACGTTTCACATAATAAGGGATTAAATATCACTCAAAGTACTTTATAATGAAAGTGATATCATTAAACCTCTGAATATGAATTAGTCTCATATCAGAATGTAAAGAGAATTTGGACAAAACAAAGAAAAATAATGTTGAATATAGGAATCGCGCCTAGTTATTCAATAATGAATACCTAGCTAGAGTATTGACTTGTCGTACCATGAGATTGCATTACATAACAACAGAAAAATGCTTCCTGATCATACTTAAATTTTAATTTTCTTATAATAATACAACATCCAAACCAATTAACGTCTCCGTGAGTATTCCAAAAACGCTGAATCAACTAATTAAACACGCCTCTTTCTATTTTATGTAGACAATATTAGTATTGACTTTTAGTTTTACAGCACTATAATCCGCATTGATTATTTTATTAAAATAATATTAAGAATAAAAAATTTCTCTTTCAAATATTACGAACAAGATATAAAAATACTTGGAGTTGTAAGCTATGAGTGAAGAGTTAAGACTCATAACTCGCGAGAGTGATATTATGGGCTAGTTAAAAACATAAGGGATGAAAGAAGAAAAGAGAAATGTCTATTTCTTGAGATGTTGGGTAGAGGATAAATTTTTTTTATTCAAGAATTTCAATTTTTAAAAATATAACAAAAATATTCAGTTTACGATAAATTTAAAATTTAAAAATTTAAAAAAAAAATTAATTTTCCGAAAATCTTGAAAAATACCAACTACCAAACGCCCTCTTATAATTTATACATACCAGAGTGCTTGCCGATAATAAGTTTGGATACTCATTGCCTCACTGATCATCATTAACTGTCCTCCACAGCCACAATGCTGAAACCGAATTCGGCCGACGCATGACGACATTGACGACAGAAGGAGTAGCTACAAACAAATGCGTGTAAACAACGCCGACACGTGGATGCATGGTCCATGCTGTTTGAGAGTTTATAATTTTAATATTTCTCACATTATAACAGATAGAAGTATTTTTTACATATACATAAAAATGATTAAAATTTTTATAAAAAATTATGTGAGAAGAAAAAAAGAAAGAGAAACATAAATTTCATAGACTTTTATATATAAGAGATAACTTTTATCTAATGCAATATAAAAAGAGTTTAAATTATCTCCTTTTATAGAAGATAATTATCTCATATTAGTGAGACATAAAAAGTTGTGCCATTCTTTTTTTATTTTTTTTATTTTTAAAAAATGGTAGGACCCACATAACTTGTTTTTATGCATGAGGTAAGTTATCTTCTATTGAAGGAGATTAATAAATCCCATATAAAAAATATTAAACCCTTTGAGTATATACACACAGGCGAAACTAAGTGTCCAACTAAACTCAATGATAAAAACGACACTGGGTCCGGTGCTAATGAACCTACTTCAAGCAGCAAATAATATCTATGAGCTGAGAGTCGCTTCATTTGGGTGCAGAGTATTAAAGTACAAGTCCATAGAAATATAAGAGGTAAATATTTATTATTCTATTTTTAAATTAAAACTTTCTTATATATTTT